ATTACTCCCCAAGTAGGCCATGGACTCAAATATTGTTGCTTAATTGATCGTGTGATGGCCTGGGAAGCAACCGTGGATGGAATAAACCTACATATAAAGAAATAAAAGTCATTTGAAGTAAGACAAACTTTAAACATCAAAATGGTTAAAAAAGGGATTAAAGTCTTACCCTTTACCATATGGTTGAATCCATGGTCGATCATGGAGGGGCGAGTCAACACCATCACCATCACCAGGTGAATCTGGATCAACAGATGGTGTGGCAGTCTTAGAAGGCGATATACAAGATGAGGAAGGTATAGAAGTAGGGTCAGGTGGAGCAATGGGGGTAATAATCACAGGGGGAGCAGTGAGGGTAATAATCACAAGAGGAGGAAGAATGTCTACTACAGGGGTAGGAGGAGGGTGTACTGCAAAGGTAGGAGGAGGGTGTACTGCAGGGGTAGGAGAAGGCACCACAGATGATGGACTGGGGGCAGCTGTGGTAGGTAGTGTAGCCGGCACCCTAAGTACATATTTTGGTGTCTGTCGTTGCCTCTTTTTAGGCCTTGCTACCCCCTTTCCTTTATCACGACGTTCTAAACCTTCTCCTATCATGACTGCATTGAAATGGTTACAAATAAAGTGAAAGAATAGAAAAGTCTAAGGAAGGATCAGTACTAATTAAAGTGAATGTAAGATAAATGCATACAACTTTTAAAATTACACCATTATAACACCAACGAAAATGACCAATTACTCATAGAACCCTCAATTCAAGTTTTCACTACTCCACTTCCTAAAAACAAGTCCTAGACTAAAGTAAACTATGTCTATAAATCTCATACCCTCTTATAACATATTTCCTCCCACTTTGACACTTAATTATGATCCAAAAAAGCTCCTAACCAAGACCAACTGCAACAAAACAATACACCAACCATTTCTCACCATTTCCATATCAAAATCTCAAATTTGAACCAATTAACCTACAACCAAGATTACCCTTTTTCTTCCAACAATACAATCAGCATCAAACACTTCCTCAGCATAATTTCCAAATTTCAAACACGCATACACACAGATTCAAACAGTTGTACAACATACATCATCACAAAAATCATCAATATTACCCAATTAACTCAATTATCACTAACATCAAACAACATTTTCATTCAAACAGTTTAATACTCATATACTATCAAATTTACACCACATACTTTAATTAAAAGTAATTATCTAGCTTCCCTCGACAACCTTAGTTGGTGGGTAATCCACCAATCAAGATTTTAGTCAAGAATACAAAGATACAATAAATTTGTATCCTCACCAACACTCAAGTACAAAATAAAGTAATCAAGAGAGGATCACTCTCACTCTCTTTAACCTGACCTACTCAGCACAAGTTATAAGTCTAAAGAATACAAAGAACCTAAAATAAATACACTCAATAATGCAGATGATTCGGAACATGTGTGCTTCTTGAAGTCTTGAATGATTTCTTGTAGTCTTCTTCACCAATCTAGCTTGAAACCTCCAAGAATTGTTCTTTGTTTGTGCCTATACTCAAACTCAAGCAAATGTTATTATATAGCAATTGAATTTCGTAATGAGTTAAGTTTCAAAAATGATTTATATAGTAAATCAAATTTTGTCGTAATTTAATCGTTTAGGTTAAAATCTTAATCGATTAGCCAAAACTTTTTATTTTAATCAATTAAGTCACTAATTTAATCGATTAAAATACTCAGTTATATCTTGTTCTGCTTATCCTGACTCTCTTTAAAAGATTAGATTAATAATGTAATCAATTAGGAAAAAGTTTTTGTTTTAATCAAATTAGGTTACTAATGTAATCGATTAAAATACTTATAGTTATGTCCTATTTTTCTTAATGTGAGTTTTGGCTTGCCTTAACATATTAGATTATCAATATAAGTGATTAATACAATTAGTAATGTGAAATTTTGACCAATCAAAACTAAATTCACTTATACAGATTATTTATGTATCTCATTGTTCTCTTATGATCCTAGGCAATTTATTATCAAGTTTATTGTGCAATAAAGAACCAATTTCTTAGTTCATCACAAAAAAACTTTCACCAATTTATGGATGCGAGAGCTCCCCTCTCAACAATTAGCTTGCTTAAAAACTTCAAAATTACGATGGATGACACAACTCCTTGTCTTACAAACAACATCATAAATAAAAAGAAATTTGTTTTGGTGTATTTGCCATGCAAATTGCATGTCCATGTGTACTAATAGAGCCACTGTGTGTAAGTTGCCTCCTATTTTAGATGCTCGATGTTGTTGGGCTTGTGAACACTTTAAACAATATGAAGAAGAATTCCACAACAGTAGTACCTAGTTCCAAATATCATCAAACATCAACTCGACTTCTTTCCTATTTTTTTGCTATCATAAACATCTTAAATGTTTTCATTAGTAATAGTTTCGTCAATAATGGATTCGATAAAATATGTCAATTTTTTAGTTTTTTGGTAATCCATTAATAAAAAAGATCAAAGTTTTCGTTTTTAAACTTTGACTATATCATGGTCACATTTGTCTGTAAATTTTGTTGGTGATTAATTTTTTAAAATTTTTCATGAATTTTTAAGAAATGTTAAGTAATTGAATTTTTTTAATTCTTCATTGAACTCATTAGTAATTAAGTTATTTAAAAAATTATTAATAAATTTATTGAAAATTTTTAATCTGTCAATAGTTATATTTTTTAAAATTCTACGGATATAATGGTGGCAAAAGTTTTGTCAAATTTGATAAAATATGTCTTCAAAATCGATCAAAGATAAGTAAAAAGAAAGAAAGAAAAAAAATGAAAAGAAGAAGATGAAGTGAAGAAAAAGAACCGAAAATAACACTAAAATATTAAATTGTAAAGGGAAAACAATGATAATTATCAATAAATAACGAAAATGTTTGGTATTAATAATTGTGAAAAATTCTTTCAGTAATATTTATAAATAAGTATTTTCCAAATAGATTTTTTACCATTATATATATATATATATATATATATAATATTAATATATTTGTTGAGTCAGATTTTTAAAACCCATTTAATATATTGTTATTATAGATGAATATTAAATACATTATCCCTGAAGCATCTCATATTAACACATATAGCATTTATTGTAACATGACAACGTTGTTAACACGTACATAAACTCAAATTTTAGCTTCATTCTTAGATCCCTCTTTATGGGACTCTACTATTTAGCGTTGATTTTTAATATAT